TTTTTCTATTTGATTAAAAGTTTGATCTTTAAATTCCTCTAAAGTTTTATGATTTCACCAAATTTCATTAATGGGTATAAATATAAACAATTCCAAAAATTATTTATTCAAGAAATTTCTCATAAATAAGGAATTTCCAGAAGCTTTCCAAAGATATCCTACTACAAATAAAAATTAAGGACTTTCAACTCTTCTAATGTTCTCAAAATATGTATATTTATAATATACTATATAAAGATTATTTGATATATTTATGTAATGTAATTTATAATATAAGCAAATAGGATGTTTATGTATAAATAATGAGACAATTTTAAGAAATTCAAATGAATTAGAGAATTACTATGAAAATGGTAAAAATATAGTATCTAAAATAAAATTATTTTATTGACTATTCTTTGTTAGTTTTAAAGAATAAATGGACAAATTATAATAGTATTATAATATAGTTTTAATATTATAGCATCTAATTATATAAAAATAATTTCAAAATAGATTACCAAAAAGATAATTTATTGTAATATTTTTTGTAATTCTATAATATGAATAAAATTATTATTCGAAAATTTAAGATTACTAGTATCAAAGGGAAAGTGAATCAAAAATTAAAAAAAATTATTATTTAATTCACCTAAACCAAAAAGGCATTAGGGGATCAATTTTTGAACATAAATGTGTGATGATAAAAACCACCCCTCTACCTATGAGAAGATTTCTGATCTTTTAATTGATCCCATCATGAAGAGGATGAAAGTTTTCTCTAACTAGAAGCTATAAAGTTCAGAAAATAACAACTTAACTCAAAAGATCTGTTGAGCTTTCATCAAAATAGGTCCTGCATGGCTTAACACCTATATATTCAAATTGATACGTTCAACTTCAAGGAACTAATATATTTTTCAAACTCACAAATAGTTTTCTACTAACAAACTTCTCTTTCCAAAAAATGAGTTTACTCTATTCCATTTTACAAATTAGTCAATAAAAATTGCTATTTACACCCATTCACAGCATAAATTATCTTATTAGCCTAAGTTTAAGGAATTATTTCTTCACTAAAGAAATCATTACTATCTTCTTATGAGATCTATACACTGAGGTATTAAGTCTCAAAATGTTTAAATGTTATGGCATTACATACAAACAAGTTCTTTAAGTATAAAAAATACTTTAAACAATAATAGAATAGTCTAATTTCATTGATATCTAATCCTTCTCTTTATCAACCCTCTATTTTTCTCTAATTTTCTCCAGATCCAATAACAACCTCTCTAATTAATCATTTCTTATCTCAAATCAACTTCTAGAGTCCTTTCTACTTTATTCTGTTGTCTGATATCTAAACCAACACACTTAACAAACTAGTATCTCCAATTTATCTAAGTTATAAGGCTGGATTAGAAGCCAATCTTATAGGCCTATATTATCTAGTCTATC